AAAGAAAGGAAAATCCCGTTCATACTCCCGTTCTTTTCAAATGAGATTAGTACAGCTATAAAACGCTGTTTGAAAAGAGCGGGTTTAGAGCAATCGGTGGCTCTTATTGAAATACCACCGAATACTCTAAAACGCCAACTAGTTCGCAACCGCTTATATGACCGTCTCTGTATAATGAAAGATTGTAAAATATGTCCTAACGGCAGAGACGGTGATTGCACGAGCGTAGGTACAGTCTACCTAATCTCTTGCAAAGCGTGTAGCGATAAATATATTGGCGAAACGGGTAGGCCGCTCTATGCCCGTATAGAAGAACACCTAGCTGATAAGCGTCTTAAAAGACGGAACACCCCGCTAGGGACGCATAGAGAACAGAAACACGACGGAGCTGATTTTGAGATTGAAGTCATCATCCTTGCGCAGGAACAAAAAACATCAGCGCGAAAACTTCTTGAAGCACTTTGGATTAATACCACTAATCCAACTATGAACCGCAGGGAGGAATGCCTTGTTATCACACGTGATTTTAGTCAGTATATAAGACTGTTATTTTGATGGGTAAGGTGCATTACGAGCCTATGTGATCTCCTTGCGGTTGTCTCCACTTGAATCATTCAGTGGAACACATATAAAAAGCGGTGAGTATGTTGAGAGTTGATTTTGTGCTTGATGCGATTGAAATCTAGGTCTGGTGATTTTTTTCTAAAAGAGTATTGGAGGTGTTTGGCTTATTGGATTGCGGACAATTTGACCTTTCCAGGCTCTGAAGAAGGCGAACTGCCGAAACGTCAGCTGTGAATAAATTTTATTATAACACCTCGTGCTGTCTTCAGAGTTAGAAAGACGCTCCGAACTGCTTCAAAAATCAGTTCAAAGCTTTTCGACGGAAAACCTCATTATTACGGAGATATATCCGGCTGAGCAACTAAGCGTATATGTACCGATATTGTCACAAGTGCGTCACATGTGACAGAATAGGCAGTGCACCTAACACAATATTCACCTCACAAAGTGTTTTCTATTTGCCCAGAGCAATGTAGACGATCCAGATGGCGAGACCTAAAGCAGGCAACTGCTGCAGCTTCTTTGATAAATAGTTTAATCCTAGGTCACGTTAAGTTACTACTCGTTAGCGCAAGAGGACTGCACTGCAATGACGAGCGGCCAAATTTTGGAAGATTAACAGCCTAACTTCATCAGTACTGGAAAGACTTAAGAGTTACCGAAACGAAAGGTATGATAAGCGGATGGACATTTGGGTTCGCTATCAAAAGGTGAGAGAGGATTCTAGAATGAGATCCAGTACAATCAAAACAATCTAAACATCAAGGAGAATGTTGCATATGAATGTAAAGACGGTTGTTGGAGCTCAGTTGGGAAGCAAAAGCTGAAAGATATTGTTTTTTTAGAGGATAACCTCTTCTTAAAATAATTTAATCAATGTTCTTCTTGCAGTGATAGATATGGTTAAGAAAAGGTAATTATCTCGTGTTCCGTAAAAGGATCTGGGTAATCATAGAGCAATTTGGATTTGAGTTTACGCTGTAATGAATTCTAAGAGCTCAGGAGATAAACAGAGTATGGAAGTGCTAGAAAAGTTTTTGAACCATGCATGTGGTCTGTTATGGACGCTTATGCAGGGCAGGACACAAGTTTCAGCTCTCCAGGCTCGTCAGCTACACAGTGCCATTCGGTTCAGTCAGTTCCGCGGGAGATATCCTCTACTTATAGAAGCATTACTTACTCGAGCGGTCAAGTGATAAAATCACCGAACGGACAGTGTTGTACACTCGCTTGCTCTTGGCTGGCAATCACGAAATCTCATGCCTTTCGTTTCGAGTTCTTAAAGTCACGCTGTATAATAACGATTCTCACCAAACAGCTTCTCCAGAACTTCATTATCAATATATAGTAGAGTAAGCTATTTTTCAGAAGTGTATGAAGCATTTAATCTTTCGACTTAACCCTTAGGCCTAAGAAGATGATTTGTAAAGAATTTTTGCTCTTGATAAAATTCTTCAAATCTATCTGGAAATTTTTTCTATTGTGCAATTTGTGTTCAAAAAACATTGCAAAGAAAAGAAGTGCTACTTCCATTCAACACTCACTTGGTGAAGAAGAGGAGAATGAGCTCATTCCAGAGATCTTTATCTTAACTTGTAATAAGAACGATGTAAGTGGACAGATGAAGAGTCATGACCATCATCCCATCTAAGAACCTGTAGGTGTTCAATATCTAAATCCAAAAAACTTCAAGATAATGCGGCACATTTGAAAGCCATTCAAAAAGTTGATGTTGCCGTGAGTGAGCAGCTCTCACCTCTCGTTATTGTCAGCTCTATCATGAAACAAGTGGATGCAAGGCCGAGTTAAGTGCTTGTTGATAATTTCGATTAGAATCCTATGTTAATGTTAGGCTGCTTAAAACTCGAGTTGGAAGTTGTGCAAAGTAAATTTCTGAAATTAGTCTATTCACCTTTCAATTCAGTAACCTAAGTGTGATTTTAAGTTGTGTTATTACAATAAACCTTTGCAAAAATAATTGTTAACCGAAGTGTGCCTTTAGAAGTGATTTGTAATACAAGGCATTCTGAGAATTCTTTAAAACAGCAATTCGACAAGGCACAATTCGTTCTGTAGACTGGATCAATGGAACAAAGCATAGAGTATGAATGACAAGTGAATGCCAAAGAATGTGAATAATGACAGATTGGAAACACATTAACCGAATGTGAAAATTTGACTGATGGCGCAAAGTGAGGTAAAGTGTAAGATACGAATAAAGCTCGTCGGAGACTGAAATCGACATCACACAAACAAAGGTAAGATATACAATGGAATTCGCTCAATTGGATTTCTTCATCATTGCCCAGATTGTCTGTGCGAGGTCACAATTTGGTCATTATAGCCTTATAAAATGTTTTAAGTCTTTGGAGGTCTGGGTGGAATCTTGAGTGATATACGTACTTTCGGCGTTCTCGACCGCCTTATTAGTACCACATGCCCTACTGCTCACCCCTACTACTAATAGCGACCGTTGCCGAAGATGTATCATTCTAGACCAAGTGAAAAGATCACTCGATGCTGCGGCCCGTACTGAATTGGAAGGTGTTGTTATATGCTTTGTTACCAGCTGTAAGCTTTGAGCTGAAAAGCGAAATGAAAAGTAGAAACTAAAGCAACAAACGTAGATTATTGGCCAGTGGCGAGTATGAGCAATGATGATTCGTTGTTGACTATTGTTGATTGTATTAGTGATTGGTTAGTGAACATGTTGAGCAAAAAATCCACAACATCATGGGAAAGTATCAAAATTTTGAAGAAAAAGCACTCTTTTTTCGAATAAGCACTCTTAAAAAAAATTGATGCATATAAACTCTATCGAAGCTTACATCGACAGCATACTAAAATCACCTCCAGATAAGTCTTTTCTAAAAGTTATACATTGTAGAAAATGCTTTCTAGAATTACGTTCTTGGAATTTCATCCAAGAATTGCGAATAAAATAGAAAAACGTTGTTACATCATAGGCGCAGTTTTTCGTGTTATAAAAGACGATTCTTAAGATATATTGGAATTAATGGTACTTTTCCGTTATCTGCTCGCCATTTTGTTCCCTTGTACAAAACGTATTTTTGGTCTTTTTCAATGCACAAACAGTCGTTCGATATCGCAAATTAAAAGAATTTGAATGGTATATCTCATCATTAAAAAAAGCTTTTTTATTGCGCTGAAAGAGCGAGAGCAATATTCTGTTTCTCATTCAAAGATTTCTCGCTGACCAAAGCATTCCATTGGAGTTTTAGTGATCAATCGATAGATCGAATATTAAGGATTTCAATAATCTATTCAGTTTTCATAAAGGACCCGGTATTATGCTGCAGCAACGAAAAGTTTATTGAGCTTTACATTCTATTTTTTTTTTGCGAAATAAGCTCAGTGCTGTATTTAACTTTTTCGTTTCAAGCTCTCAGATGACTACAAAGGCATGATTAAAATAAGGTAAGGAAAAAATGTTCTGTTAGAAAAGGAAATGATTTATTTATTTCAAACATGTGTTTTTCTCTTGGAAACATGAGAAATTTCTGAAATCGCCTTTACAAAAGGTTACTCTATGATATCCTGTCTTTTTCAGACGATAATCTGTGTCTATCCTTCAACTTTGCCTGTAATTATCAATAAATCCGTTATGTGACCTAAGAGACACGGTTGCTACGTAGGACGCAAACCTTAATCTTCTTTTCCCTTTGGCGGTACTCAGTAGGAACCTTTCAGAACCAATCTTAGTCTCAGAATCGCCGAAATTTCCTTATCCGAATGGTAACTCGAGCGCATGTGTCGCAGTGGTTAAAGGTGCGCTGCGTCGCACACGAGGCCAATGGTTCGATCTCGCGCCCATAGCTCACCAAGCCATCCATCCCTCCGGGGTCGGTAAATTGGTACCAGGCAGGTCTTAAACTTGTCTGGGAGGATAAGCAGCACTGATTCGGTTCGGCGGGAGGCCACCGCGAGTCATTGTGAAAAGGCCAGATATGCATTCAATCACCTCAAACGAAGTTAAAATTGAAGTCGAATGCATGGCGCATCCCTCAGGGATTGATCAACGCCGAGAGCTTTATCCTTTTTTAGCTTTTCATGGTAACTCATTCCATACTCAAAAGCACTATTAATAAAATGAGAAACGTTCTCTGTGGTGCCAATCCACTCCACTTGTTACAAGGCAATGAAGTAACGAAGTTCCAAAACGGAGGAATCTTCTGCTGTCGACGTTCTGGTGGAATCATAGTGATCTCAGAAAGACTATGGAACCGAAACGTTTGTAGCAACAAATTTTTACTGAAAATCATATGCTAACAGTAGAAAGTTAATATTTCCTTGGACTTCAGCCACGTTTTTTTCTCAAAAATGAACACCGAATCACCTTTCCTAAACGCTTTTTGAGCCCTCACGTAGTTCGGCTTCGAAGGATCCAATAATGTAGAGTGGTGTGTAAAAAAATTTGCGTCAGCTGGGATCGAACCCAGATCTCACTCTTTCAGGGAACGCGTACTGAACCGTTGCACTAACGACGCCAATGTGGACACCACTCTTTCGACGCAGCAACGCGTGATCTATCAAGTCAACCGCCTAGGGTCATACCACCGCAATACGAGGTAAATAAACTATATCATGGTTAGTTATCGAAGGATCATCGGAAGTTAATGAAAAACTGGTCCAATCAATTTTTTCTCACCGAGTCTACAGGAGAAACACATTGTAAGTTTCCGGCTGGAATCGAGCGCTTCGAAGTGTGAAGCGTTTTCCGTATTTTCTACTTTTGTGCACTTTCTCCCAAAAAGTACTTAACACAATAATGAACTAATGCTCCTTTAAGCCTTGCTTTAGTTACATAGAGCCCGCAGCCCGTTATGTAATTTGGTTTATCGCTACTTTGAAAAAAGAATCCTACGCTATTTTTGATCCATGTGTATGCTTCACGCTCTTCTACACACCTTCTCATCTTTTGGTGCGCATATAATTATTGCATGTATAATACAATATCACTTACCGTGATCATATGCTGTAAGCAGTTAATATAGTTCTTCAAATGGTGCAAAAAATAATGCGATTTTATCCATTCACTCTTTTCAACAGTAATAGTCTCTCACCAAAAGTGCAAAATTGTGCGAGAAATTGTTGGGACATTTCGCCTTATAAGCCTTGCGATTTGGCGTTTGTATTAGATAAAAGCTCTCGGCGTTGATCAATCCTTGAGAGATGCGCCATGCATTCGTCTTCAATTTTTAGTTCGATTGAAGTGGATGTAAGCATACCTGACCTTTACAATGACTCTCGGTGGCCTCCGGCTGTGTCGAGTCACTGCTGCTTATCCTCCCAGACAAGTCTGAGACCTGTTTGGTACCAGCTTATCGATTCTACAGGGATGAACGGCTTGGTAAGCCATGGGCGCGGGATCGAACCACTGACCTCGTGTGCGACGCAGAGCACCTCTAACCACTGTGCCACATGCGTACTAGATAAGCTACTAATTAATTACAAGAAGCGGAGGAAGAAACTTATGTGCATCAAAATAAACTATAAAGAGAACGACCGCTATAGATATCACCACCGGCCAATGCGCGTTGCTATGATGTTCACCAAAGAGATCATTTTCTCAACAAAGTGTTGAAGTGACTAAATTGTGGCTCCATGTGGACACAATCTAGGCAACGATAACATTGGTTAGCAAGCATATTGTGCTCTCGAATGTGAGTCCATACTCTTCAAATCTAGTACAGCTAGACCTAATCACATTATGTAATCATCTCCAACACTCTATAATTGTTTAATTCTCGTCCTGTGTGGGCTGATGTTCTTTCAGTCCTTGACATTTTCGCTTCTCATTTTCATACATTTCACTTTTATTTGATTAACTTATTATAAGATTTCCAATAGTTCGTTATATCTCAAACTCCTGCTCCTGTTCACAGCCTTTCACACTTGCTTTTCGTTCACATTTAAAGCTTTGGTCTCATTGGTCCATTCAATGAAAAAGACTGCATATCGCCGGACCGTAGTTATAACGAATTCCAAGTGCGGACACGCTTACGGATGTCAATATCGAAGATGTTTCCTAGGAGAGTGTTTTTCCTGGCACTAATCGAATCAATTCAAACTTTTAGACATTTGTTTTTGATAGCTGTGATTTTTCTTTGCGGAGTGTCCTGTATTACTAATCGCTTCACTAAGATATTTCCTCCTGCACTTTCATGTTCATGATTTGATGCCGGAACTATTTGTCCTTGCTTAGGCTGTCGGAATAAAAAAAATCAAAACCAATCTCAATTCAGAAGTTCGCTTGACATTGGCTAAATTTGAGTGTAAAGTGGATCTAACTGCTTATAAAAGCATTTCTGCATTCTATTGAAAATTTCTTAGCGAGCACTCGACACAACGTTGCTTTCATCTTTTTATAATAATGGGAACAATCAAAATTAGGAGGGTTTCGGCTCTTATACGTTAAACAATATAAAACAGAGGTACTCGCAAGCTGCAGATTCTTTGGTCGGATGATGAAAATTTTCTATCTCTTCATCTACATCATAGTTGTCTTGCTTCAGCTTGCTGTAATAATTTTCAATGGATTTGTTCTCTTCTTATTCACCAAGTAAGCGTGCTAACCATACATCTTTTTCTTTCAATGCTCTTTGGCAGAGTATTTCATAGTTGTAGAATCTTCTAAACCTGACGTTTTCTCTACTTCAAGGGAGAAAAATCTTCGTAACAACTTTCGCCTTTTGGTGTTGTTTCTAGCGACTACTGATTTTCTTCACGCTTTGGCAAGTAAGTGATTTGCTTCGTGTTTGAAATGACAAATACTAAAAACAATGCGTAAATGAACCTTCATTCCAGCTCTTCCATATTCTATTTATCTCTTGACGTCCTGGAATCCGGTACAGTTGGATCTCAAGCCATATTATGTAATGATCTCTAGCCTTCCTTTCATTGTTCAGCTAAAAATGAACCTCTCCATAACCATATTCATTGCTGCGGAAAAGATTATGGTAAGTCTCTCTTCATAAATTTCTTTACCTCTTTGAACGAGATCTTTCAGGCTTTCTACATTCCAGTCGTGTTCCGTAGACTCTCCTCTTACCCATATGCAAGAGTTTGCTTGATTTTTGGACTTCTATTAGCTCTGTTGGATGTCATTCTCCAACTCTCACTCTCACCTTTCAACAGAGCTCCAAACTGTCCATCGGCTGGATGCTTTCTTAGTAACAACTTTTCCTACTATTTGGGAATCAGTAATATGGTAACTTTCTCCTTACTCGAAGTTATCTGAATAGCTTCTAAATTACTCTTTTGAGCTTCTGAGCATTGTTGTAATAGTTCTCACAATTTTGATCCTTAAAAAACTGCGAGCTATCCGCCGAAAGCCGCGACCACTGCAATCTATGATTTCCGGAGGGAACAAATTCAGACAGGTACATTACAAGTTTTTTCGCTGTTGAAAAAGTTTTATTGCTGATTTCTCAACAGCCTAATCAAAATTGCGTGGGAATCCTCTTTACATCCTTGGTAACTGTCACACTCCCAAGTGTTATTGTTGGTGTATGTGGGCTAACTGGCCTCTCTATTTCTAAAACTATTGCTCCATTCTACCTAGCCGGATTGCTTTGCGCTGGTGAGGGCAATATAATCGTTTAACAGTGGAATTAAATCATTAAAAAAGGCCAGTACAATTTTCTATTACAGGATTGTGCAACAGTCTTGTTCATGTCGCTCTGAATAAGGAGATGAGAAACTTTGGAACCAAATGTATCACTACGAAATGAAGTCGTATTTGTCTATTCTGTTAAGAGTTACTCGATATGATTTATAGTTCCACACTCGGAAGTAAAATGAATCTTGAAACAATGTTGTACTCTTGTAAATATGAGTGCAAGAAGGCATAGGTTGATTTGTGAAGTGAGATTCGATATAAGACGACCAGTTAGCGAAAATACCCATATGAAAAAGGAATCAGAACTTCCTATCCAACTATTCTGACTGTGAGAAAAAACGGACATTTTAATTGAATACAGAGGGATATGTTGAATTATCAACTCGCCTGTAATTAAAGAGCAGAAAATAGATTTAGTGCTTGACCACTTACGAATAAAGGATAAAGCTCTCGGCGTTAATCAATCCCTGAGGGATGCGCCATGCAATCGCCTTCAATTTCTAACTTCGTTTGAGGTGATTGAATGCATATCTGGCCTCTACAATGACTCGTGGTGGCCTCCCGCTGAACCGAGTCAGTGCTGCCTGCTTATCCTCCCAGACATATCTGAGACCTGTCTGGTATCAATTTACCGACCCCGGAGGAATGGATGGCTTGGTGAGCCATGAGCGCAAGATCGAACCATTGACCTCGTGTGCGACGCAGGGCACCTCTAATCACTGCGCTACATGCGTCCTGCAGGAAAGGAAAGACCACTTACGAAGTTTAAGTAAAATATGACTCATGCGTTTGGAAAAGGTAGCCGTCGTGAGCCGTAAAATCAGCTGTTTCACATCACTCAGCCTAATTTTAGCTGTTCACTTTCACACACACAGCTTTTCTGTGCATTTTTGGTAATCATCTGTCAGGTCATTAGATATATGGTGGCCATTCACATCTGCATCTTACAATGCGCCTACAAGAGCGCATGAGTGCACTGGTCAGAGGTGGTCTGACTCGTACACAAGGTCGATGATTTAATCTCATGCTCATAATTCGCCAAATCTTCCATTCTTCCGGAGTTGTTAAACTGGTGCCCGACTTATCCGGAAGGACAAACAGGACCGAGCTTTTACATTAGTCGGCCACTGCGAGTCATTGTATAGTCCAGATATGCATTCAGTCCCCTCAAACAGGATCAAAATTAAAGACGAATGCATGGCGCATCTCTTAGGGTTTGATTATCGTCGAGATCTTTACCCCTTCATCCTGTAGCGCGAGTACACTTGCATACGAATCCTATAAAGAGGACAAGCCGCCACCAATTTCATGTTGTCTGTGATATCGCAGATAAACTCCTATTCAGTGAGTAATGAAAAAAGACGAATTGGCGGCGTTACTTTCCTGTCAGCGAATTTGACCATAAATATCGATTTTTCCAAACAATCAACTACTCGGACAGGATGCTTACGATTGATACGATGTTGATCAGTAGCAGCTTTGAGCATCTTCGTTGCTTATGCACCGACGTTAGCCTTTTGGACGCGACAGAGACACGTCGCTAGGTACGACTAGTCTGTAGTGCCGACCGCCCACAGGAAATTGACCGGCAAATTGTTTTGAACGCAGTTGAGACACCGCCGTCGTTGACGACTCGCATGCTGGCCGACGATTCAAAAAAACACCAAGTTTTACCGCTTGTTTTAAGTGTTTTCTCAAGACCAAGCTCAAATTTCAATATGCTTGATGATTTTTTTTGTGCCAAGCATGTACTTGGTAAGTCTGCGTCTCTCTATGTAGGGAGGTTGACTACCACCCAAGACGGAAAGACGGATTGGCTAAAAAGAAGGCACCGTACAACTTTACGAGGCTGCAAGGCCGAAACAC